AAGTGCCCAAAATGTTAAGTGAAATAACTCAGACACCTAAGCTTAAATATTGCATGGTTTCTCATATATGGAAAACTTAATATACATATAAAGTGTAAACTAAAACACAGATAACAAGAAAAATATTTCTTTTTATATATTTTAAACATTTTGGCTTCAAGAAATGGTGTACAGGTGTCCACTTGCATCTTGTAAACTTTCTATACAATATGGAGGCCTTGAATTCCCTCAGTCTGCATTCTGCCGGCTGGGAGACCCAGGAAAGAAGGTAGTACATTGAGTCTGAATGCAGAAGTTTGAGGACCAGAGATTCTGACAACCCAGCTCAAGAAGAGGCTGAATTAGCCTTCCTCCATTTTTTCTGTATTCCAGCCCTCGATGGATTGGGTAACGCTCTTCCACAGTGGTGAAGAAGGGTCTTTTTCACTCAGTCTACTAAATGATATCTTGCAGAAACCCCTTCACAGACACATCCAGAAATAATGCTTTGCCAGCCCTCTGGGCATCTCTCAGCCCAGTGTAAATAGCATATAAAATTTAAGTGTGATGTGGATACTGCATGGATAAGAATGGAACACAAAAGAATAAAACGACACATAGGAAGCTTGGGGCATTTTCAAAAACAAGGTTATTCTGGGATATTTCCTTCCGTAATGATTTAAACCAGTATTTTAAAGCTCGACTCCAAGGACTGTCTAGTTTATTTATTTATTTTTTTAATTTTATTTAAGGAGAAAAGAAAAAAAAGCAGGGAAAGGGTACAAGTTATACAGATTTACAGAAAAAAAATGAACAGTAGGAAATCACTAGTTAATAGGTTACATATTGTCATCTTAGAAATAATTGTTCAAGTCACAAAATTAAAGCTTGTAAAGTGGACATTCCATCAATGATACTGCAAACAGTTCTGTTCATTGATCCAATAAAACTCTGTGATATCATTTTCTATCTTATACACTTAAATATACATGCAGTTATATAGTTTGGAGCACTTTCTTTTCCTCTCTTTTGTACCATGACTATTACACATTTTGGGTTTCATTGCTCCCACGGTTCTTATTACTTTTTTGGAAGAGAGTAAAACCAAATGTGACATAACAGAACAGAATCGGTCAAGTCAAAAGGGTGGACATAATAGATAATGTAAAAACGTAATACAAGGTGATCATCAATGGTTACCATAATGCCTCCTGCTATCTCTAATAGAATTGCCTATATTGTTAGTTATAATACAATTGAACAAAACAGTAAAGAATAAAACTGACAAAACCAAAACATTGGAGACATTGTAGGTCTTCAAAAGTAGATAAAAGTCAACAAGAATGGGCGTCATAATGAATCTCATTATCTTCACAGCTGATGCCTAAACTTTCAAACCTGATACTATCCAGCAAAACAGAATAGGGGAACAGCAGTTAAAAACCAGATGGTGAGAGTAATACAGGGCTTTAAATCAAGGTAATGAAAAGTCAAAGTGGGTTACTATAATATATGCTGCTATTTTTTTTCCTTTAATTAAAAGGATAAAGATAAAAAAGTAAATAATGGAGTGGAGATTGAGATAAAAGAGGGCATAACAACGAAACAGTGCAGATCAAAACATAACCATTTAAGCAGAATAGTGTTTCACCACCAGATAATCCTAACCTAAAAGTAGTTACCATATTGTCTCTTTCTTTGAAATCCTTGAGTACAACTTCGTATACTGTAGCATTAAGTATATCAAAACAATGTAAAACCATTCAAGAGAATGACAGCATTACAGAGTATTTAGAATCGACTAACAGAAAATGAACAATGGTTTCTGTATAATCTCCTTGTCTTTAAAAGGTTTTTGCTTATACTATCGTATATAGTAAAATCCAATAAGATACAGCCTATTTAGACCATTGGAGACAGAAGGACAAAAGCTAGATGAGACTTCAAAACAAGATGATACTAAATCAGTATTACCTATTAAGATGTCATTTTCTCCAAAATAGCTGTTCCTATCATCCAATCTTCTCTGCCTCATTTCTGTTGAGCTCTTTTTCTGTCAGTAGCTGTCAGTTTGTCTTCTTCATTTTGTTCTCTGCTCCATTCGTTGTGGCCTCTCTGCCATTATTTCTGGATTCTTTGTATTTTTCTTTTTTTAGAATATCCTGCAATACTCTCTGTAGAGTTGAATTGGTGGTTGCAAATTCCCCCAGTTCCTCTTTATCCTGGAAGCACCTTGTTTTTCCATCAATTTCCAGGGACAGTTGTGCAGGATATCTCAATCTTGGCTGGAGATTATTATCTTTCAAAGCTTGAATTATTTCCCCCCACGCTCTTCGTGATTTGATGGTTTGTGCAGAGAAATCTGCTGTAATTCTGATGGGTGTTCCCTTGTAAGTGGTCTGTTTCTTGTCTCTGACAGCTTTTAATATTCTGTTCTTGTACTGAATTTCTGGAATTTTTATTATTATATGCCTGGGTGTTGCTCTGTTTGGGTTGTAGGTAGCTGGGGTCCTGTATGCCTCATACATCTGAGTATCTTTACCTTTTGCTAAATTAGGAAAATTCTCCTGGATTATTTCTGTGAGTAGCTTTTGTAGTTCACTTGTTTTTGTCCCTACTTCTTCTTTTATGTTCTTAATCCTTAAGTTATGGATCCTCTTATCATCTTCTTGTCTTTGTATTATTGCTGTTTGTTTCTTTGTTATTTTTAAGAAGTTTTTCATTTCATTCTCCCATATTACAAGTCTGCCCTCCAGTTCAGATAGTCTGTCCTTAGTTTCTTTCAAGCTGTTATGCCAGTCTTCTATAGACTTCTTAGTATCTTGGTAGTCCCTTTGAACCTGCTTCACGTATTCTATGCTTTCTCTGTTTTCTCCATCAAACAATTCTCCCCTTTTTTTCTGTTCTTCCATTCCACCACCTGTTTTTTCTTGGGTGGTACTTAGCATTTCTCTAACTATTCTGCATACTTCTAGCTTCAGGTCATTGATAACTTCATTCCTGAATTGGTCTATGAGGCTCTCTATATGGCGCCTTATGTGTATTGGTGCAGTGTCTGCTATTGCCTGTTTCTCAGAATTGGGGGCCGAGGAGCCTTTCTTGTTGCTGCCTCTTCCCATGCTGCCTCTTCTTCTCTGTTCCTTATATATGCAAGCTTATATAAGAGGCCCAGCTTCTCTCCCAGTCAGCCACAGCCTGATCGAATTGCGCCAGTTAGGTGTTCCCGCTCACCGCTCTGCACCAGGGAGTTACCGACCAGGCAGCCTAGGCATCTCCCCTCCCGGCCACCGTCAGGCTCTGGGATCTGGGTTGGGACAGCCTACCAGGTCCTCCGGCAGCGTCACGCAGGCTAGGCACTTTTCACCAATCCCGCCCGAGAGGGGGATGTGTGGCTGGAGTCGCCACCACGCCCTGCTCCCGCAGGACTGCTCGGGCCCAGAAAGTCCTCTGCTGGAGTCAAACTGTGGTAGAGTGTCAGTTTCTCTCACTCACCTCACCACAAGTCAGTGCATGCCTCCCTGCCGTTCGAAGATTGCCGTTCTCAGAGCTTCTGCGCGTCTCTCTCCTTGCCGAGCCACTGTAGAGGCAGCCAGCCACCGCGCGGCGGGAAACCCAAATCGCGGCTTACAATGGCGCGGGGTCCAGCCTCCACACCGAGGCTTTTCTGTTCCTGTTTTAGCACCAGGACTGCATTCCAAGTTGGTTTCTCTCAGCCCAGTTCATTCCTGAGTCAGCAGAGCATATCTCCACCTGCTTATGTCTCCTTAGTCCGCACCATTCCTGGCTTCTGAGTCAAGTCTTTCAGAGAGCCTCCAGTAGTTGCTGTTATCTGTCCGCCATGTTCTCCCGGAAGCCAGGACTGTCTAGTTTAAATGATATTTAGGAAACGTCTGATCTACGAAGTTTTTTTAAAATTTTATTGAAAAAGGTAAAACAGAATTTCATAACAAAATAGTAATAGAGTAACAGTAGTTGATATGCTGCATATTGTCATCTTCAAAGTAGTTTTTCAGAGTATAAGTTATGGGTATGAGAAATTCTCCATAGATATTAGCATGAACCTTCTTTTTTTGGTGAACTGAAAGACAGTAATGACATAGCTACCTTATATTTTTTTGCCTTTTACCTTCTTTCCTTTTAATTTCCTCCCTTCTGTTTTAATATTTAGGTCTCTGATCCATTTTGGCTTTAATTTAGTGCATGGTGATAGACATGGATTAGTGTTAGTCTTAAGCATATAGAGAGCCAGTTTTTCCAGCAACATTTATTAAAGAGACTGTCTTTCTTCCAGTGAACATATTTGACACCTTTGTCAGAGATAAGGTGGCAGAATATGTTTGGAGTTGTGTCTGCATCTTCTAACCTGTTCTACCTAGTCTTGAGTCAATGTTTTTCCTCCAGTACCATGTTGATTTTATCATAGTAGCTGCAAAGCTTTTCTTGCCTATACTTTGTCCTGTCTGAGTTTATAGATGTATATGCATGCTTTTTTCTTTTTTCTTGACTGTTCTAGAATATCTTTGTATCACTAAAGCAATAGATTTTGAAAGTAACAACTTGTGAAAAATAAAGTAGAAACTATGCTTTTAGTTTAAAATGATATAGTAACGTGCATTTATGAGCATTCTAGTTAGAGATAATTGTTTGGAGACTGGGAGAAGCAGATCTGAGTAAGAAAGCTATGCATGTTAATCAGAAACTTTGACAGTGAAGCAGTTGCGTATTTTTTTTCTTTCAAGAAAATGATCCTGTTTCATATGTATAATGTAACATCTGAGTGGGCAGAGATTTTCCTATCTTGCTCCTAAAGTTCCTTTACAAAAGTAAAATTACCAAGCATTAAAAGACATAGGATTTCTTTTTAGGTAGAAAGTTTTTTAATTTATCATCTGGATTTAACTTACTTGATGAATGTTTCTTAATAATTATGTATCCCTGGAGTATATAATCTTATTAAAGAATATACTTTTATACACTTTCAAATGAATAATCCTACTTGATTGTGTCCCTTTTCTTTGCAGAAAGTATTTGCATGCTGCATCTTCTTTTAAAGGAACACTTAAAAACGAAGTTAAAAAGGCACAGGAAGCAGTGAAGACTGGTATGTGGTACCCAGTGGGCCTCATAATTATTGTTCCACTCATTCAGTAAACATTATTTCAGCCTTTTTTCTGAGACAGGCACTGCTCTAGGCATCGTAAACAATGCTACAGTAAACATAATGTCATTCTTACCTCTGTGGAGCTTCCTAACACAGTGTATCCATTGCTGAGTTTGTTAAGTATGATATGATTTATTAGTTTATGATTTTGAACATACCTGGAATTAATTGATATATATTAGCAACCTTCATAGTCATGACTGTCAGATTATATTAGAGGCCAGCATTACATCTACTTTAAGAGGAATTTTTTGCATACTTTTCCTACAGCAAAGACAAACCTATCCTTCTCCATTCATCTGGGTGTGGTACCACGTCTACATTATATGGAACAGATTTTATAGCATCTTTAGTTAGCCAAGGTGAACTCATATTTTTGAATTTGTACACATAAAGTTATAAATTTTCAAGCCCAAGAGGAACTTGATAGAGAAGGTAAAAAGTACAGAAGAGTTCTGAAGTGAACCTAAGATTTTCTGTGTGTCGTTGTCACGGGTCATGGTTACATGTACTGAAGACACCTCTTAAAAATTGATTGAAAGAATTTCACTGTATTCTTACTATTCTGCTTTTGCTTCCAGCTGAACTCATACTGAAAGAAGCCCAAATCAAAGTGAATCAGCCTGGCAGAACCGCCTCCTCCTCTGCCCAGGTACGTCCTGTGAAGAGCGTCTTAAGTGGTGCACTGTGTCACTTTCTTGTTCATAGTTGTCTCTCATCATTCAGTTCTTACGCTTTTAAACCTGATAGGCTCAAAAGATTAAGTTGATTTTCACACAAGTAAATAGCAGATGGGTGCAGAGAAAGGAGAGAGAGCCCAGCAAATTGGAGGAAGGCTGAGACTAAGAGCAAAAGGGAACAAAATATCAGGTGACTTTGGGACAGTGAGGAAGTACTTAATGCACAGTTTCTTTAAAATGAAAAAGAAAGTAATACAAGTAAAGGAGAGAATGATGAAAAGCTAGTAGAAAAAACCTAGCCTATCAAGTCTCCTTGAAAATTGTCTTTTCAAATTATAGCTCTCCATGGACCTAAATAAATGGGGAAAGAAAAAAAGAAGACTAATAAGCAATTCTTCTTTCTGGTGCCAGCAGTTATATACCATAATTATGAATATTAATAACAATGCTTCCAGCTTACAAAGCTCTTTTCTTATGAGTTTCTCTATACAGTTCATAAACATTCTCTGTATTTCTTCCAGGATGCCCACTAGTAGTGTAGTTATAAAGAACTATTATTATTAATTATAGTGCATTTCCACTAAGAGAAAAAGAATATTGTCAAAGGATGTGTATTGCAAATTAGCTAACTTTTTACTAGGAATGTGGAATAAAGCTTTTCACCATGGTTAACCGTTAAGAAGTTTGTCTCTCTGCTTGATTACAAAGGGATGAGTAGGAATATTAAAAAAGGTTATTTTTTGTCAACTTTCCTTCACTCTCTTATGCATTGGTATATGGTAATATGCATTCTTTCAGTGATTTCTCCTAGACTTTTAAGGATCTGGGCTGTGGCTCACAAAGAGCTGGTTTATCTAAGGGTCATGAGTAAGGGGTCAGATCAAAGAATAGCATATGGCCGTGCCCATAGCTGAGTCTATCCATGACTTTCTCAAGGTTCTCTTACTTTTTTTTTAAGTTAAAGGTAAGCCTGTCTTATTGCAATTGATTTTTTCATGGTTTAAGTTCTTTTTCTCTTTTGTCTCTAATAAATCAATTCCCGCTAGTCTGTATTTGGGCATCAAGATGCTAGCTTTCTTGTCTTGGCCTTCTCTTCTCGTTACCCTTCTGTTGTCCATCCTGAGTGTGAGCGCACGGCCTGGAAGGGTGGGGATGTCTTTCACCAGTTTGCTCTGTTGCTCTCAAGTGCCCCAGTTACTTTAGTGCAGAGAAGAAAGCAAAGCAGATTGACCTGGATTTTTGACCTCTTAAACTCTTGTGGGCAGATGAATTTGAACAAAATACTTACCAGTCATTTTTCATTTTCTTTTACTTGAAAGACAATAGTCATGTTCCATCAGCAGTATGCTCATCAAAGAGATGTTTGCCTTTCACATCAAAGTCTGTTCTTATTTGTAAGAACAATCCTGGTGAATGATTCCTTTTCTGCTTGGCTAGAGCAAGTTCACTAGGGCTAGGATAGCGAATGAGCCAGCACAGCAAATTAGAAAACTAGCTAAGAAAGACCACGGGCCACTAGTATTGGAACTCACTGAAAAGGAAAATCCGAGGGATGGGGTTACCTAGAAAGAGGAAATATTATAGGAGAATCCAGAACTTGACATGAAGGAGTTTTTTTTCGCTACTAATTAAATTCATTAATTACTATATTTTAAATGAAAGAAGTCTTAATGATTCCATGATTGAACACTGTCTGTTCTCACAGACAAAAACGTGATCCTAGGCACAGTGAATAACTCATCCGAGTTTTCCTGTATGCCACTGTAGGGAGTGAAGATTCTTTCTCTGAAAGGCTGAGAGATCATCTAAATATGTGCACCAACAGCGTGGTGGGTTAGGGTTTGGTTTCTGACTACTGGAACTTAATCATTTTACCAAGGATCTACTGAATAGGTACCATGCTTTAGGTAATGTGATCTATTAAGGAAATATTTGGATCATAGGGTAATATCAACTGACTTTTTCTCAACATAATGTTCTCTCTCAACCAAATGAACTTCTCTAGGATATATTAGAGAGAGCTTTGGAAGATGTAGAAGCAAAGCATAAGACTCTTAAGGAGAAACAAAGGTAAGACAGATTTTCTCTTTGCAAGGATCTTTGGTTCTCTGTGTTAAAACAAATTCCAATTTCTAAGTACACAGGTTTGATAGTTACTGTAACAATTTCTCTTTTTCAGCTTGATGTATTTTATACTATGCCTCCTATTTTCAAGATAAACAATGTAAATACTTATAAAGTATGTATTGGCATGCACCTATATTTGTCTAGGCAATGTTAAAAGTTTTGAAAAAAATGAGAAATTGGTTCAAAATTTGGTAGTTTACACTGGATGAAGACTTTGAGCTGCCAGATTATCAGCTAAAAAAGGAAGGCTGAGCTTGTGGTTGGCACAAAGTTATGGTTGACTATAGGGGAAGAATTGTATTTGGTGCCATTCTTGGTTGAGAAAGGAAAATATGAATAACATTTGTTGTGCGGTAAATCTGTTCCATGAATTTAAAATGCTCATTCTTAGTCCTCATGCTTTTCCATGTGATTAGGCAGATGTTAAACTTACGTTCCAGTGAGACATAGTGTTCCAGTGGCTCATTCAGATTTTCCCAGTTATTTGCAAAGTTGGCCTGCTTTTGAAGCCCTGTCCGCCTCTTACATATGGGCAGTTTTCACAGCTCCCTGCAGCCTCCTGGTGCCACAGTTTCTATTACATTTTGCTATTTCTCAAGTTTTTTTTTTATGTTGAATAGAAAAGTTTAACACATAATATAGTATAGAGCAAAGTCTGAGAATTGAAGTTCACATCCGTTGCCCTGATTAACTTTATTAATTTTCATTTACCTTTGGTTTTGGAAAAGTTTAGAGAAAGCTAAAGAGTATCTTTTGGTACATTCCAGGCTATGTAGGATATTTAGAGATGTGGGAACATACTGAAAGTTGGAGATCACATTCAGTGTTAGAAAAACCTGCAGTTTTAAAAAGCCAAATTACCGTTTTTCAAAAATGCTTCCATGTGTATGTTAGGCCAGTTAACATTTCAGAACTCTCTTGGAACTTTCTGGTTTTTGTAAATTTAAATTATCAGACCTATTTTAGAATCAGTGACTGCCTGTGTTTGACTGGTATAATTGTGTAGAATACTTGGCTATATGGAGACACCAGGTACACATTTCTGTCAGATTTTGCAAAATAGCTGGACATGTTATATATCATTTCATGGATGCTTAACTTTCTGAATTTAATTATTAGCAGTTTTGTAAAGTCCATACTTTTATTTAATGAAAACTTTAAAAATCTTTTCTAAATGTACCTCTAGAGAATTAAAAAAAGCAAAAACACTCTCGCTGATCTTCGGAGTGAACATAGAAAATCCAAGCCAAGATGGAATGTTCCTTTACAGTAACAACCGTTTGATCAAAATGCATGAGAAAGTGGGCCCACAGCTGAAGTGGAAGTCCTTGTAAGTATGTTTTTGTTTCCAGATGCACAAGCAGGCAGAGGGAGGGTTCAGTAAGATTTTGTCTGTGTAGTGAGAAGAGTAATTACTTATAATGGGAACAGGTGTCATAGTCTGTGTTCACCCTTCCCGTCAACATTGCAAGCACTAATGTGCCTAATTTATACTGTCAATAAAGCTATATGCTTCCTCTAAGGAAAAAGCATACTTTTGCAAAAAATTTTTTCACTGCATTTCTTGAACAGCTTGATTTTCCCCACTGCTTGTGCCACCTCTTCAGGATTTCAATGTTTTACCAATTTAAAAGCATTATAGACATATTACAGACAAACTTTGGGAAAGAAAGATAAATCCATAACTCTGCAAAGCAGCCCTGTTAATGTTTTGTGCTGCCCATAATATGCATGTTTTTGCCAGGTACCTGAATGAGCTTATGCTATTAAAAGCTTCCAGCCCAGTTGGACTTCCAAGTAGTGGATTCTGTTGTTTCCCCAATGGTCTAAAACTTCATAAGCTGTTTTCCTCAGTGATGTAGAGTCCCAGAGAGACACCACTGAAAAGAATAAACAAGATTCCAATAGAATGGGTCAGGGGAGCATTTTGTCATCTTGATTTCTCACTCTTAAGGAACTAGCAGTTCGTTCATTATTCCATCAATAAGCAGTTTTATTGTTTATGTGCTGGACACTATACAAAGCTCTGAAGTCAAAATGGTCAGGTCAAATTGTCATTTGCTTAAGAAGCTTTAATCCAGGAAAATGGATAAGTATACAAATTTGCATTTCTGTATATACTTGTAAAAATAGCAAGAACTGTCTTTTAAAACCTAAAATACTTGATTCTTCCTTAAAACTCCAGAGCAGTTAGAGTTGAACTGCTTAAGGTGATCTTCCAGTGATGTAGCCTCAGGCCTGCTCTGGGCCCCTTTCCTGTCCCATAGCCTAAGCTCTCTGCATTCCTGTTCCTCTGATTGCTGAGATACTTCCTGCCTGAAGGCCATAGCACTTGCCTTTCCTTCTGCCTTAAGCCTGCTGTTCTCAGATCTTAGGAGTGCAGCTCTAGTGTAGCGTCCAGGCATGAATTCTTAACATACTTTCCATACAATTCGTTCTTCCTTAACTAATTACAATTGGCTCCTGAAGTCACCCCACCTGTCACTCTTCACATATTTGTGTCACTTAACTGTGTTTTTCAAATGTCACTTATCACCATCTGAAGTGCTCTTACACATTAATGTGTTTATTAGCATCTTGCCTGTCACCTTTCAGTAGAAGAGAAATTTCCTAATCAGGGACTTGTCTTCCTTGTTTATCACTGTATTCCTGGATCCTGGAATTGTGCCAGGCAGGTGTTGCACTGGAATGACTGACTGAATGAATGAATACTATGTTAGAGGTGAGCGTCAGCTACAAAGAAGGCAGTGATACCTCGGTTGTCGAAGTCAATTCGTTCCAAATTTGTGTTTGAACACTGAAAAAAGTCAAGAACTAAAGATTTAATTCAATAAAAAATAATGGAAGTCCAGATAATTGGTTCTGAGCTCCCAAAATTACATTTATAAATTAATTTTTTTAGGACTTTAACAAATCTTGAGTGATTTCTTTTTTTTAACGCTATCATGATCTCACAGTTCTCCTCTTAATTTTATTGTTATCACTTTCTTTGGGGCCATGATTAAGGTATTTTACACAAATAAAGTAGAGGAGAAAAAGCACAATAGTGATAGTCTTAACTTACGAATACAAACATTACATGCTGTCTGGGAGAGAGCATCACTTACTAAAGTGTCACCTTTTTGTCCTCGCGGCAAGATTTGGATTTTTCAAGTTGGATTTTCAGTTTGACTATGGAGCAAAGCAATGCACACCAAGCATATTTTCTTTTTTGCTGCTAGAGTGTGGAAAATTTGAGCTTGCAGCCATTTGACAACTGAAGTATCACAGTCTTTAGAAAAGCAGTCAGGGGAAGTTAGGGTAGGATTTTTGAAGAAGTGGGGTCCAAATTTAGACTTGCAAAAAGAATAGTGAAGGGGAGGCTGAGTGGAAGAGGAACACGGTGAAAACATGACCAGTGAGGCCTCCAGTTTGGACAGATGTGATTAATGTTCTGTGAAGAGGTAGTAGGGAGCCAAAAGTGTTAGACTACTGATGCTTTCCTCCGAACGGGTTTTGCCACCAAGCAGAACTTCCCAGATATGCACCTAAGTACCATTAGGAAAGTGAAAGTTAAAAGCAAAACAAAATGAACAAACCAACACCCCAAAACCAAACCTTTATTCATTAAAGGTGATAGATACTCATCTCCCTCTGAGATAAGAAACCCATATTTTCTATGAGTAGAAGTCACTGAGAACCCCCAGTGAGCGCTGTAGTGAGAAGAAATCCAGCCCAACAGGTAAAACAGAGACAGAGGATGATTCTGAGTGGTTTCATTAAGAGAGACTCCTGGAGGTTTATCGTAGTGAGACACGATATTGTTGTTGGTGTTCATGCTGAAAAACTCCTCTTTCCCACCAACCTTCATGGAAGGGAATAGCTTTGGGAGAAGAGTTACATTAATTCAGTAATGATATATTGGAGTGATTTATTATACAACCAAATACATCTGGGGCCAGCATAGATTTATGATGGGATCATAAGATAACTTTCTAAAGATAACTTTTTAAGGTGATGTTTAAACTTATTAAACTTTGAAATGGTCCAGACAAAGAGAATGTATTTACGTTTGGAAGCACTGATTACAAGTGACCCAGGCATATTGGGTTTTTCTTTATTTTTAGCCAAATGTTTTAAAAAAATTTAATTGATTTTATTCCCTCAGACTTGGGACAGGTGTGGTTGGAATTGCTAACATACCCTTGGAGATCATGGAACCATCCCATAATAAACAAGAATTTCTCAACACCCAAGAGTATAATCATCTACTGAGAGTCATGGGACAGTACGTGGTCCAGTACTGCAAGGACACTGGGATCAGTGAGTATTCAGTGGTTGCACTGTGACATCCTTAAGAGGGATCAAGCAGTGAGATTAAGTGGAAATGATTATGTTGACGCTGGTAACCAATAACCCGAAGACTGACAGAGACTTCCTATTGTAATATCCTAAAGGATGGGCTTGAGTTTTAGCTCAGTACAGTACATGCCTAGCATGCATGAGGTTCTGGGTTCGATCCCAGGCACTACAAAACAAAACAGAAGAAAACAAGAAGCAGGAGAGGCAAGAAGGGAGATGGTTCCAGAATCTTACCCAAAATGACATGTGCAAAATAGATTATAAGATGAAGGCAGTCAGAGAGCAGTGTGCAGTATCAGCTTGCCGTGGAGGAGAAAGGCAGCTGGAAGCTGCACACAGGCTCAGCGCAAAGTCCTGCAGGAACCTTTATAGCTCATAGTGTTCCAGTGTCATGTTATGGAACAGTAACTACTGAGCCTGAGTAACTATAGGTAACATTGTTTCATTTGTCTAACAACTTTTTTAAAATTTTATTTAAGGATAAAAAGGAAAAAAACAGAAAAATGGTACAAGTTATACAGAATTTAAAAAAAATAAACAGTAGGAAATCACTAGTTAATAGATTACATATTGTCATCTTAGAAATAGTTGTTCAAGTTACAAAATTAAAGCATATAAAGTGGACATTTAAACAGTGAGACTGCAAACAGTCCTGTTCAATGATCCAACAAAAACTTAGTAATATGGTTATCTATCTTATATGCTTAAATATACATGCAGTTACATCCTTTAGAGCACTTTCTTTTCCTCTCTTTTGTACAATGACAATTACACATTTTGGGTTTTATTACTCCCACAGTTTTTATTACTTTTTTTTTGAAGAGATTGAAACCAAATGTGACAACAAAACAGAGTCAGTCAAATCAAAAGGATGGACATAGTACATAATGTAAAAACAGAATACAAGGTGATCAACAGTGGTTACCATAATGCCTCTTGCTATCTTAAAAAGAGTTGCCTATATAATCAGTTATAATAAAATTGAACAGAACAATAAAGAACAAAACCAATAAAACCAAAACATTGGAGACATTACAGGACTTCAAAAGAAGATAATAGTCAAACCAGAATGGGCATCATAGTAAATCTTATTGTCTTCACAGTTGTTGCCTATACTTTCAAACTTGGTACTATCAAGCAAAACAGAAGAGAGTAAAATCAGTAAAAACAAGATGGTGAGAGCAATACAGGGTTTCAAATCAAGTTAACAGGAAATCAAAGTGGGATACTATCATATATCCTGCTATTTTTTATTTATTTTTCCCTTAATTAAAAAGTTAAAAATAAAAGAGGATTGAGATAAAAGAGGACATAACAACAAAACAGCACAGGTCAAAACATAACCATTTAAGCAAAATAGTGTTTCACCACAAGATATCCTGACATAAAAGTAGTTACCATAGTGTCTCTTTCCTTGAAATCTTTGAGTATAACTTCGTATACTGTAGCATCAAACATATCAAGACACTGTAAAACCATTCAAGAGAATGACAGTATTACAGGGTATTTAGAACCAACCAACAGAAAATGAACATTATAACCTCCTGTATAATCTCCTTGTCTATAAAAGTTTTTGTTGATATTATCACATATAATAAAATCCAATAAGATAGAAGATGGAGACAGAAGAACAAAAGCTTGATGGGACTTCAAAACAAGATGATATTAATAGCACCAGCTATTATTATGTCTTGTTTTCTCCAAAACAGCTGTTCCTATCATCCAACCTTCTCTGCCTCATTTCTGTTGAGCTCTTTTTCTGTCATTAGTTGTCAGATTGTCTTCTTCATTTTTCTTTCTGCTCCATTCATTGTGGCCTCTCTGCCACTGTTTCTGGAATCTTGGTATTGTTCTTTTAGAACGTCCTGCAGTATTCTCTGTAGAGTTGAATTGGTGGTTGCAAATTCCTCTAGTTCCTCTTTATCCTGGAAGCACCTTATTTCTCCATTAATTTCTAGGGAGAGTTGTGCAGGGTATATCAATATTGGCTGGAGGTTATTGTCTTTCAAAGCTTGAATTTTTTCTCCCCATGCTCTGCATGATTTGATGGTTTGTGCTGAGAAGTCTGCTGTAATTCTGATGGGTGTTCCCTTGTAAGTGATCTGGTTCTTGTCTCTGACAACTTATAATATTCTGTTCTTATATTGGATTTCTGGAATTTTGATTATTATATGCCTGGGTGTAGTTCTGTTTGGGTTGTAGATGACTGGGGTCCTGTATGCCTCATACATCTGAGTATCTTTACCTTTTTCCATATTAGGGAAGTTCTCCTTAATTATTTCTGTGAATAACCTTTGCAGTTCATTTGTTTGAATCCCTCCTTCTTCCTTTACGTTCTTAATTCTTAAGCTATAGATCCTCTTATCATCTTCTAGCCTTTTGTATTGTTACTGCTTATTTCCTTGTTATTTTTAAGAAGTTTTTCCTTTCATGCTCCCACATTACAAATCTGTCCTCCAGTTCAGATAATCTATCCATAATTTCTTTCAAGCTGTTATACCAGCTTTCAATAGAGTTTTTAGTTTCCTGGTAATCTCTTTGAACCTGCTTCATGTATTCTATTTTCTCCATCATTTTCTGTTCTTCCATTCTACCATCTGTTTTTTCTTGGGAGGTGCTTAGCATTTCTTTAACTATTGTACTTATATCTTGCTTTACTTGGTTAAATACTTCACTTTTGAACTCATCTATCAGGTCCCGGAGATAATGCTTTATGTCTATTGGAGCTGTGCCTGATATTGCATGTTTTCTGTTCTCATTCTCCTTTGTATTTACCTTTCCTGGATCAGTGTTCTCAGGACTGGGGACTGAGGACCCTTTGTTGTTGCTCCCTCTTCCCATACTTTTTGTTCCTTCCATACAAGCATATATAGGAGGCCCAGTTTCTTTCTTTGTCAGTTACAGTTTGTTTGAATCGCGCTGACTAGGTGTTTCCGCCCACTGCAGTGTACTAGGGAGACACAGAGCTGGGAAGCCTCTGCTGGGCCCACCCCTCCAGGTCAGTCAACCTGCTGAAGGCTTCAGTGCATTAGAGTGCACTGGCAGGCACAGGAACCTGGTTTGGGCTAGCCTAATGGGTCTTAGTCTGTGGTGTCACCCAGGCCAAGTGCTCCCCACCAATCCCGCTTAAGAGGAGAATATGTGACTGAAGTTACTGCAGCGTTCTTTCTGGCCACTCTGCCTGGTCCCAGAATGTCCTCTGTTGGAGCTTCCTAGTCTATGAAAGGGTCCCCATTCCTCTCCCTCACTGCAGGTCAAAGCAGGCCTCCCTGCCAGCTCTGCTCTCAATTCAGTTCACCGATTCCTGCTCTCAATTTAGTTCACCGATTCCTACTCTCAGAGCTTTGATGTCTCTATCCCTGCTATGCTGATTCCAATGCAGCAGCAGAGGCAGGAAATTCAAGCTGTGCTTTCCAGAGGTGCGGGTTCCAGCTTCAGCACTGAGACTTTAGCTGTTCCAGTTGTAGCACCAGGATTGCATTTCCAGTTGGTTTCTCTCAGCTTAGTTCATTCATGGGTCGGCAGGGTATACCTCCCCCTGCTTAGGACTCCCACACCGTACCATTCCTGGATTCTAAGCTGGCTATCTCAGAGAGCTTCTGTAGCTGCTGTTATCTCTCTGCCATGTTCTCCCAGAAGTCCCGGAAGCAAAGATCTTAAAACAGTCTCCTGGGCTCTGGATAGGGAGCTAACTCACCCCTGTTGCCAGCTGAGTTTCCTGGTTCCCGGTTCCAGAGAGGGTCACTGGGCGTGTCCTGGGCAGGCTTGAAACCTGCCTGGTGAGCACAGCCTAGTGTGGCTGGGCTCTGGGCAGGCCCTTGAACTCTGGGAGCAATGATCTTAACACCTGTCTGACAACTTTAAGGATATTAGTTCCAGAAATATTTCGATTGAAAATCATTAAAATAAATGTTTGAAAACTTAGAAAATAAACTGGTCATCTAGAAAATTTTGACCTATTTGGACTACTTGGTTCCCTAGGGTTCAACCATGAGATGGTGTGCTGTGTGTTAATAAACACTTGTTTGAATTATACAGATGTAGAGCTTCATTGATGGAAAGAAACAGACAAGCTATTCAGTATTTTTCAGTGATTTTTGTGTCAAAAATATGTCTCTCTCTGAGATAATTTAAAATCTTACTGCTCAGTTTGATTCATAATTTTAGAATAATTTCTTTTCTTCTGCTCTTTCTACTTGCACCTAAAATTTTCTGGCTTGTAAGCCAGATGGAAAACTGCAGAAACTCTAGAAAAAGGATGAAAAGATGAACGAGGGGGAGATTCCCTGCCAAACTAGGTTTTTATGCAGTGGTCTGGGTTCACTGTGAGCAGTTGTCTCTGCTGGGTGATTGCTTATCAGCCTCCTCCTGTCAATTCTGTGTGACACCTTGTGCCCATTCTACTTACATTTTCAAAGTCTTCTCAAGGGTTGTAATAGGATTCAAAACAAATAAGTTATGTTTGCATTTTTGCTTTTCTGGTTGGTTACAATGTTCTGTTAATTACAAATTAATTCAGAGATAGAGGATACTCTCACAAAAAGTGGGCTGTAGAAGGAATTAGAAAAAGGAAGAGAGGCAACAGGCATGTGAAGCTGCCCATGTGTCTCAAAACTTCATCTCCAAACTTCATTATCAAACTGAATCCAGTAAACAAGGTCAGAATTGATAGTCTCAGTAACTTCTGAGGAGACTGACCTTCAAGGTCTTATTAATTCCCACAGGGACAACAAGAATTATGGAATGCTTGACTAATACTCTGAGACTCAGTATTACAGGGCACACAGTTTTAATGAAAAGTATTTGGGTAGCTTTTTGCCTTATAAATAAAAGATGCAATCTTTGTATTTGCTATAAATCTGATCAGTTTCTGTGGCAAATTGGGCTCTCATAAAAAAAAATCAGCAGAATGGGAAATGGAGAGGTAATGACTTTGTATCATTCATCAAATTTGCATTTAC